AGCGAGGGCTTGTTTTGTAAACAGTGTGTTAGTGCATACGGTAAATAAAGTGCGAATCAGGGTCACAAGCCAGGAAGTCGACTCGCACGGTGAAGCCTCCAGAGCGTCTCCATTATGACTCTGACTTCAATCAAGTGGCATGAACTTGTACTTCGTACTTTGTCTTTTGTTACCCGTGAAGAGATGTATCGGGGCTTCTCATGTACACCGCCACGCATGACAAGGCACTAATCATGCGCAGTATGATAAATACCGCCGACGTCCATTAAACTGTTCTTGTTGCTCTGCACACGATCCTGTCGACTGCCTCTTTATCGTCAATGATACAAAAATGAGCAGAAATTACTGCCTCAAGGTATTCAAAGGTAATCTCAAAGTAATTTCAAAGTAATTTCATTACTTTTGGAAAGTAATTATAATGAAATGTCATTACCTTTAGTCTGTGGTAATTTGCAATGTAATTTAATTACATTTTGCAGTTATCAGGAAAGTAATTAGTGATGTAATTTAATCACTTTTTGAAAGTAATTTTGCCATCTCTGTCGGGGGACGGATGTATCTGGACCCCGGGGCTCTGGTGTCTCCGAGCTGGGTGTCGACGACACTGGTACCGGGAACGAAACTGGCACCGGTACTGGTGCACCTTCGAGCGAGGTGTTAGAAGCTGCACCCTCAGTAGCCGTCTCTGTGCGGCTGAATGGCCAGCTGTTGTCTGGAGTATCCCAGGAGCCAGGTTCTCCTCGGGCGCAGGTTCCACGATCTCTTCAGGGACTGTAGGCGGAGCTGCAGGCAGGGCTGCAGCCGGAACTGGGGGTTCCGGGGGCAAGGTACCTCTCCGTGGCCGGGGCTGTGGCGCTCGGGGCGCCTAAGGCTGACGTATCGTTCGACGCCTCCGGTGGCCGGACTCGAACACGGTGGTAAGGTTGCTAGGCCCCCCACGGTCGAGTCGGAGACACCGGGGTCGACTCTGGCAGACACGGTCGAGGTGTCCAAGTTTCTTGCAGGAAAACAGCAACGGTGCACCGGCGGAAAAAAAAAAAACTTTCTTGGGTGGCAGGGGCCACCGCAAGAACGGCACCGCCTTGGTGACGACGAAGTGCCACAGGTACCAGACGAGTTGGGGGACGGACTTGAATGCGCCGTAGACGGAGGCTGCGGGACCTCAGCCTTGGTTAGATGTCCCGGAACTGCTGTTGTGGGAGCAGCAGCATCGATGCGGAAGCACTGGAGTGGTACCTCGGGCCGGAACTCGACATTGGCCGTAAAGTCTTGACGTCGATGGTCAGGCTGACGCTCCGGATGATCATCGGGCGACGCCACGGTGTAGATGGTCGACCGGAACTCGTCGTAGTCCGGGAAGGTGACGCCTTGCACGGGAGTCCTTGTCGGACCAGGCTTTGCTTGACGACGGTAGTAGTCGGTGCGGCCCGCCGCCCAACAGGAAAAGGCAGCTGTTGCTTGTAACTGTCGCCTCTTGGACGACTTCGGCAAACTTTGGCGAAGTGGCCCGCATGGCCACACAAGAAGCACGCAGCTCCAGATGCCGGGAAATCTTGCCTCGCGTGGTTCTTGCGGCCACAAAAAAAAAAAAAAAAAAAGAAGCAAAATTCGCAGGACGAGCGCGCGCGAGCTCCTCAAACGTGCGGCGCGAACGCCGGCGGATGAATGGGGGAGGACGTCTCAACTCGGCGACCCGACTCAACTTTTCCTAGAGAAGAAGTCCATATAGCTCTTCTCGTGACGTCGTTAAGAAAGGCCATCGGGGGTGCGCGTCGAAGCGAAGGCAACGCGCGTGGATCGACCGTCGTAACGCGTTTTTAGTCACATACGCGTGTCATATTAGCTAAAATGAAAAGCCTTACATAGGCCAAACTTCTGCTCAGCAGAGCACCTGTGCGAAGTCCCGTTCAAAACGCTCATAGCACGAGATTCGAGTCTTAATAGCTGCCGTACAAACAATATATTACAATTTCTTTTGATAGTTTCTGTTAGACTACTATATTATATAACTGTGAATACAAAGAGAAGAAATAAAAAGTAGGGTTTTTCAGAAAATCAACTCCAAACTTGCCAGTTTTTCGAAATGTTCGTATTTTAGGCACATGTAGCGCATTCTATGCTTACCGCAAAATATTAAAATTATACTCAAAAGAAAGAGGTTATTTAGAGCTTTACGGTGATATAAAGATCATAAAACAATGTTGATTAGCTCACACAGTACAGCTTGCTGAACTTCGTCAAATATCGTCGTAGAGATACGGTTTCAGAAATGAAAAAAAAAATCATTAAGAATGTTATGACTTAGACGCTTAATTAGCATAAAAAAACCTATGTCTAGAGTGTTCCCAAAAAGTTATATTGATATAGCTTCAAAAGTAGGCAAACGGGATGGAGTGAAATATGGAACCTCCGATAAGCTGGAAAAACGCCAGTTTCCACCATGGCCGCTTAAACGGGCCATAACTCTAAAAACAAAAATACGACAAAATTGCTGTTTGCATCTACTTTTATTATAGAAATTTCCCCAAAACATTTTTTTTCGTCAAAGTAAAAAATTTTACCCTAAATCCGTGCCAGAGTTGAGATCAAAATCACCCAGTTATGAATATGATATTTTAAAGGAATATGGCTGCTGCATTGATTTTAGGTGTCACACAATAAAAGTAAATGGATGATATATCAGCCCGTTCAGTCAACAAGCGAATATGACGAACGAATGTGCATCAATACTGAGCTTTAAGTCCACTTTGGTTTCATCGCAGACTGATATTATTACCTTGGCGATACGTGCGAACTTCGCTGAAGGAGATGTCATATGGAATATTGTTCTGGAGGTTACATTCTGTGAAATTCTTTCACAGCATATATTACGGACCGACTGGCATTGAAAAAAGACTTCACATATTTGAACCACGATATGCGTCCGCAAGACGGGATCATTCTAAAGAAATACCGAGGAATTTCGTTACAGCACTGAGTGTTTTTCACTGTTATTTATTGTTCAAACCAGTAAAGAGTAGAATACACCTAGGAAATAAATTGTGTCTCTTAGTGATAATGATCTGAACTGCAAATCTGTATTCGCGATTAAAAATGTATGCTTTATTGTTGTTTCCGTTTATCTATGGCATGATGTTTTCTGTACCCCCCTGCATGATGCCCAACGGCGCTGCAGGTATTCATGTAAATAAAAAGAAAAAAAAAAAGATTCCGAGAACACTTGGAGTTCAGTAACAAACTAGGTCTCCTACCCACTTTGATTGGTCAGAAAAAACGTTTCACTTCTAAACGAAGTATTCCAATTCTAAATCATTTCGTGCTCTAAGCTTTACTCGACTGCAAGCCCATCTAGTCGATCTCACAACAGATGAGCTGTCGATGTTCAAACCAAAACCAGATCGTCATTTAAAATATAACCTGAAATTTTTAATCTTTCGAATGTTCTTTCAAATTACTTTCGAATAGTCCAATGGATGTAGTGCAGGGATATTACCTCCAGAGGTGTCCTAGCACGCTCCTGCAGTGCATGCCGTAATATCTTATCACACCCTATCCTAGAGCCAGTAAATGACGAAATGAGAGGGCCGCATGCCTTTAACTTTCTACTTTTACCGATCAGACGATACAATGATCAGTAAATGCCTTTATGCCTTGACTGGCTGAAGGTTCTATCCAAAGAGCGCGAAACGCCCGTTCACGTAACCATGCAGCTAAAACCATTACTGCGCACTTCTCTTTTTTTATTCCCGCAAACCCTTCAAAAGCGGCGAATCTCACGAATCTTTGGAAGAGCTATCGTTCCACTTTAATAAAGCTCCAGTACCGCCTTACTGACCAATTCTAACTACGGTTAATCTCTGTCATTGTTTCCGTACAGCATAGCAGCGCAGTTTTCAACATGCCAATGCTCTTTCGTAAACACCGCGTGAGGGAGGCGTGCCTTGATATACGAAATGATCATGAAGCATTCGCGCACATTTGTTTTTGCCAAGTTTGAGGATAATGAATTTAACATATGTAATGAACGCACTATTAAGAAGAAATATTTCTTGACCTATTCGGTGACCCAAGTAACCAGGCTCGATATAAAATTGACCGTAAAAGTCGACGCATCCATTTAGCAATCTAAACTTTTCGTCAACGATGTATTTGACAGGTCGGTTTTTTTCTTGTGAAATTACAAAGCGTAGCTGTCTTTTCGTAAAATATAGGGCCAAGAAACTTGCCAGAGTTAACGGCGGGCGACGACGCAGATGACCAAGTCCAGTAGCAGGGTGTTTTTGGCTTTCGTATTGATAGATGGTGCCACCTCCTTATAGTGACGGCTCGTGACCACCGTCGTTTATTAAAATGAACATAATATTTCTTGAAATGTGCCTTTGGTTAAAAAATAATTCCGGGGAATAAAAGCAATCTTTAAGGTAAAAAGAAACGGGTCTGCATAACGACGGCGCTTTTACTGCCGACGAATTTCGTCTGCCTGTCGTTTGCTTTCTTTCGCTGGTCGGCTGCACCTTCGGACACCGCTCCCGATGCAATCTATCTATACGAACGCCAAGCACACCCCGCTACGGGACTTCGTCGACTGCCTCGGCGCCCGCGGTATACCCTGGGAAGTTTCTTGTTCCTATTTCCAACATAAAAAGAGCTGCGCTTTGTAATTTTACAAGAAAAAAACGACCTTTGATATACACCTTTGACGAAAAATATAGATTGCAAATGCAAGCTTCGATTTTCACGGTTCATATTAGATAGAGCCTGATGACTTGAATTACTCTAAATATGCAGAAACGATGATATCTTCTGCAAATTGAACTTCTCAGCACGTTTTGGTTTTGTGGAGCTGTTAAATATTTTATGTATTTATGTATTATGTATTTACATATTATGTGATATGTATGTATTTTATGTATTTATGTATATTATATTAATTATGTAATGCATATTGCCGCATAAAGACAAAACCTTTTTTGTATAAAAGTAACAACGAAGAAGGAACGTTTTGTGGCAGCGTGTACGTGCTTTATATACATATATAAAAAAGTTTGACGGATTCAATTTTAAATCCACCGGATAATCCGTACGAATGAAATAACAAAAATACTAAAAAAATAACCCGTTCATATTAGTAATCGAATAGCTGGGATTTGATGGTTGCTGACGTCAGCTCGTGGTATGAGTATAAAAACTAATTTTGAACCAACATTTCTTAAATTCTCTGTTAGAAAGGAGACCTCTCTTCAGTATTATCCACATGGGATGTCAAAACTTTTAGTTTGTCGCTGAAGGAGGAGTTACACATTTTAACAGAGTGTTTTGACATCATGCCCTGAACTTCGGCCGTATAGCTTGTGTTGAATAAATATTTTTGTTGATATTAAAGCAAAACACAAATAACTGTAGAATACGAAGCATTTTTCTTCGACATCAGTTATTGTATTCGAACCGTCAACATCTGAGTGAACTTTTAAGATATAACAGGAGAGTCGATCTCTTTTAAAAAAGTCGTCAATAAGACGTTTGTAGTTTAGCATCTAAAATTCGATGCGAAAGAGTATATTGCCGAAAAAACAAGTGGAAAGATGTGAAGCTTTCTCGATGATGAAGAATTCAAAACCTTTTCCTGGGACTCCAGCGAATTACTTATTTGAGGATTTTGTGAAGTTTTTGTTTGCCCCGTCTTGGAGAATGAAGAAGTCTGCGGAGGCGGAGTCATGGAATTTCCCCTGGAAGTAAAGGATGGAGTACCTGATCAGACACATGAAGTAGGCACGGTCAGCTAAAGAGAAATAAAGATTTCTCGAAAAAGACGTATGCGTCAGCTGCGCAAGAGTAATTTATCAATTGCTCCAAGACAGCAAATCTCTGGTATTCTCATACACAACGTATGATGCACAAAGCATACAGGTGCAACGAGACTCTGCTAAAGCCGAGAATGGGAGATTTGAACTCGCAGGTGTCCTTGTTTAAAAATGCTCCTTCTACAAAAATTAAGATATTCATTGCTCAATAAATACGTAATTATTAGTGATAACGTTTATAAGATATAAAAAGATTATGTAACTTTGGGCTAACTTAAGGGAATCGAAAATATGGAAAAAGCAAAAACGCCGAACTGATTCACGAACACCTATTGAGCAAATGCTAGTTGGGATAATAGTTCAAGAGAGAAACTAAAATACCAGTCTCCTTAGTGGTTTTATTAAAAGTTAGAAACAACTGGCTCTCAGCAAATCACAAAACAAAATCATTTACCCTAAGGTATTTTTTGCACTTGAGAAACAAAAAGAACAGCGTTCATTATAGAGGAGCTGGAAATTAATTAATTGGCATAGAATATCAGCCATATTGCTAAAAAAACGGCAACTTACTTCTTCAGTAGGAATGGCCTCCACAGCTCGCAAATATTCCTCGATGGGTCCCGTGCAATTGTATAGTTGCCGGGGCGGAGGTACGTCAGCTCAGAACTTTCCGCCTTGTACAACGGCCAGTCAATGCCAGAACCTGGGATTACTGGCTTTCTGGGTGGATAATACAATACGGAAGCATAAATTTAGTTTCACAAGAATACCTTTTAGTAGAATACTTAATTGGGATGAGAAGCCTAAGCACGGCGACCGCTACCCCTATCTATGTTTGATGTTATTATGCCTGGTTTTAAACAAACGAAATGCATTTGTAGTGCGCAAGTGAGCTGGTGTATACCGACCTTTGAAACAATTCGAGACTGAGGAACGCGAAAGTTGACACCAAAAGTGGTGACAAGTAGACACCAAGAGTCTTGGAGTCAACTTTCGTATCCCTCAGTCTCGGGGTGCTTAACATTATAAAGTTGAAGTATACCAAACCAATTCAACATTGAAAACATACTTAATCGTATTTATTCATGAATAAGCATAAGCAATTGTAATTATCTAGATTTTCCAGGCGGTGCATTGGGAATCAAACACCGGGCAGTGCGATCCGCAGACCGACGCCCATGCTTGGTACCAACGGCGCTGCGAAGGGGAGGCGGATAGGAACGAAATCAGCTGAACTAAATATGACTCAGCGGAGCCAGCGGTAGCGGGCGACCGTAGGCTCGCTGGTTCTTGTTATCGCATGATAGCGCGTAGCTCCCTACATGATGTCACGACGCCGCTAACTAAAGGTAAAAAAAATGAAAGCCGCTTACAACTCTCCGTAACGCCGAATTAGAGCGCAGCTCTTGAGGAGGAGGAGGGAAGGGCACTGGGGGGGGGGGTTAAACTAACCAGGGGGTGTCACGTGACCTTGGGGGTCACGTGACCCCCAATGCCGATGATGTCATCACTGACGTCACTGATGACGTCATCCGTGACGATGACGATGCTGGTACCGATTACGTCATTAGTGACGTCACTGATGACTTCACCAGTGATGATGACGATGACGATGCGAATGTCGGTGACGTCATCAGTGACGTCGCTGATGACGTCATCAGTGATGATGACAATGACGATGCGGATGCCGGTGACGACATCAGTGACGTCACTGATGACGTCATCAGTGATGATGACGATGACGATGCGGATGTCGGTAACGTCATCAGTATTGATGACGATGACGATGCGGATGCCGGTGACGTCATCAGTGATGATGACGATGACGTGGATGCCGGTGACGTCATCAGTGATGATGACGATGATGATGTGGATGCCGGTGACGTCTTCAGTGATGATGACGATGACGATGTGGATGCCGGTGACGTCATCAGTGATGATGACGATGACGATGCGGATGCCGGTGACGTCATCAGTGATGATGACGATGACGATGTGGATGCCGGTGACGTCATCAGTGATGATGACGATGACGATGTGGATGCCGGTGACGTCATCAGAGATGATGACGATGACGATGTGGATGCCGGTGACGTCATCAGTGATGATGACGATGACGATGCGGATGCCGGTGACGTCATCAATGATGATGACGATGATGTGGATGCCGGTGACGTCATCAGTGATGATGACGATGACGATGTGGATGCCGGTGACGTCATCAGTGATGACGATGACAATGTGGATGCCGGTGACGTCATCAGTGACGATGACGTCATCGGGGGGTCACGCGACATCGGCGGGGGTCACGTGACCTCGAGGAGGGGGTCACGTGACCTCAGGGGAGTCACGTGACTTCGGGGGGTCACGTGACCCCCACGAGGTCACGTGACCCCAGTGGGGGGGCTCGCGCGGTGCATTATGGGACATTTCCCATGATGCGCCGCGCGGTTACGCCGACGGCGACGGTGACGGCGACACCGCTCAAGCCGGAAACGGGCCCCTAAGAGCTGCGCTCTAAAAAATGAATTGATGTCATCTATGTTACGTAGAAGGCCGCGGCAGTTCCACTGCAAAATGCCTATATGCTTAGCCCCCCAGTGTAGAGTGCATATAAAAACTGGTAAAAAAAAGCCGCTTACAACTCCCTGTAACGCCGAATTGCAGCGCAGCTCTTGAGGAGGAGGAGGGAAGGGTACTGAGGGGAGGGTAGACCCCTCCTCTTCCTCCTCCTTCTCCTCCTCCTCCTCTCATTCTTCAATATGCTCCGGGGGGTCACCTGACCTCGGGGGAGGGGGTCACGTGACCTGGGGGGCCACGTGATCTCGGAGGGTCACGTGACCTGGGAGGTCACGTGACTTTGGGGTGACCTTGGGAGGGGTCACGTGACCTCGGAGTGACCTTGAGAGGGGTCACGTGACCTTGGGGGGTCACGTGTCCTTGGGGTCACGTGACCTTGGGATGACCTTGGTTACGCCGACGGCGACGGCGACGCCGAAGCCGCTGAAGCCGGAAACGGGCCCCTAAGAGCTGCGGTCTAAAAAGAATGAAATACGTTTACAACCTCTTGTAACGCCGATTTAGAGCGTAGCTCTTGAGGAGGAGGAGGGAAGGGTATACCCCTCCTTCTCACCCGTGCCCTCTCCTCCTCCCCTCCTCCTTCTTCTTTTACGCGCGAAACGCGCGTCGTCACGCGACGTTCCGGCGCGGGGCCGAAACCTCACGTGACGTTTCGGTTGGAGTCACGGTGACGTTTCGGAACGTGACTTCCACCGAAACGTCACGGTGACGTTTCGACACGGTGACGTTTCGTCACGGTGACGTTTCGACACGGTGACGTCACTCGCGCCGAAATGTCGCGCGACATTTCGGCGTGGTGCCTCAACGTCACCGTGATGTAATATGGGACGTTTCCCATAATCCACCGCGCGGTTATGCCGACGCCGCTCATGCCGGAAACGAGTACCTAAGAGCTGCACTCTATAAAACATCTCTAAGGTTGTGTTTACCGTTTTTATAAACCCAGGGAACCTATGAGTGTGTCGTGCCTGCAACGGATCCGATTTAAGCAAAAGCATCCAGTAACCAAGTATTGCAAGTCATAATAACGTACGTATGATCCCTGGACGACGCGTTGTGTGTTTCCCAGGCTTATTAGGACGATCAAGACGAGTATATTTTTATTTTGGGATTTATTTCGCGGAATGCCTTTCGCCTACTACAATCCTGAAAGGGAAATTAAACAGGTAATTAAAAAAAACGAGTTAGAGGTGATTTTTGCAGTATTTTTATCACCGTGAACTTGCATATTACATTCGTTATCCTTAAACGAAGTATCTAAACTCGAAAATGCACGGAAAACCTCCGACCAGTCGTTATGTCACAAAAAATATATTTCGGCCGCCAAACGCGTGTCGCTCGTTTGAGCAGCGCGTGCAGTTCCAATCTTGCCAGGTATGTTCCCCCGCTCTGACACCAGTCGTGACGTCTTATTCTCATTTTTCTGAGAATAGTAAGAGTGCGTGTTCATAGCTTTGATAGGCGCTGACGATGCGCGAGAGCGGAGATTTTGGCCAGGGCCGGCGCTACATAACGCGGGGCCCAGGGCAAGAAAGTAAAAAAAAAAAAAAAATGTCAACAAAAGTTTAAAAAGCAAAATCTGAAATTTAAAAATAACTTCGCTTATACTAAACATGAAGAAAAACGAGACGGGCACATTATCATGCGGTATATCTCTGGTGTGTATTTATTCAGTAGTGCTATGTGCAGATTGGCTTGGTTTTTTATATATGCAATAAATGAACAGAACAGAGAACTGAGCAATTACAAAGGAGCTATCGACGCACGCCAGCCATAAAGTCACAACAAGGAAAACGAGAAAATAACATTACAAAACATAGACTATACGAAGATATGAAGGAAAGCAACAATACACTACGCAAGTGCCGAGCCCAATGGGAATATCACACAGTCTAGGACGGGCAAGCTCATCGCATCGGAGAGCTAACACGGCACGTGCCACGTCCATGATGGCGCTATCGAAATAGCTGTGGCATTTTTCTGTCCGGGTGGAACAGTCCGGGTGGAATTGTGGCAACATAGGCATTTTCTGTCCGGGTGGAACAGTCTGCAAATCGGCGAAGGGCCCCGCACCCGTCGGCCAGCTATTTTTTCCTTTGGAAAACTCCACGAGGAGAGGTTAGTTTTGTAACACAGGAATTTTTCTGCCCGGGTGGAGCAATCCGCAAATTGGCGAAGGGCCCCGCGCCCGTCGGTCAGCTAACTATTTTTTTTTTCCTTTGGAAAATTCAGCAATGAAAGTTATCTGTAGTGGGGATGTTGAAATTTTACAAAAAGCTCAACCGGCGCGTGACCGCGGGGCCCCTCTGTCACTTGCGGGGCCCTGTCGTAAGCGCGGGGCCCGGAGCGCCCGCCCCGCTCGCCCATGCCTAACGCCGGCCCTGATTCTGGCAACTCCTTTTTAGGCGTAACGCTTTTGGGCAACCTGGGGATCCAAATCGTTGGCCCAGGTTGCCCATCTGCCAGATCGTCAGAGGTCATTTCCTCCGCGAGCGGCGCTCCGCCGCTGAAAAAGGCCGTCGTCGCAGCGTATGCGCAGAGGCTCTTGGGATCGCGGCGCCGGCGATGACGGTGAATAAATGGCTACGTCGAGTCATCCTACGGGTCGGGTACCAGCAAAGGCGTTGCGTGCGTGTGAGAATGCTTAGGCTAACACTAGTGGTAGTTAGCTTGCGTAAGGTGAGAAACATTCTAACCAGATATCGTTGCATATATCGTTGCTTTATATAGAACCTGGATGACGACATTGACACGAAGTCACTATAATGTAAATATTATATTGTACAAAGGTATGATTGTTTAATAATTATTGAAAAACAATTCGCTTACCACTTTCTCTAGAATACCGAATTACCTATAAACTATGATGTCTTCCACCCTTAAAAACAAAGCTAATTTTTGTAATTTATGGTAAGACGCACTTCATCAGCCATAGTAAACAGAAAACTTAGAGGGAAGGTCTAAGCGTCAACCTAGAAGCCACCAAATCAACATAGTTTATAAGACATCATGAAGCAAACTGACCGGCGTTAAAAGAAACTACTAACTACAGCGTGCCCACAAATCCGCATGAAGCGTTTAAAGTGACCGCATAAATTGGCCTGGTAACGTATCGCGTATAAATCGGGCACCGCATGGTGGCGTATCGCGCTACGAATTACCATAGAGGTGACCGAATGTGGTGGAAGCATTTCTCCAAATTTTAAAAAATATACGTACCTGGTTAAGAAGCATAAAAAATTGAACGATAATTTCTACCCACACACCCTTTGACTGGCGCAACAACCGACAGATTGCGGTAGAGGTCTCTGAGCATGCTTAACGCCCGGTGGCGTCAAAAGCAGACGATGTTTATTATAAAGAAACAGAACGCGCTGAATAAACCACATTAACTGGACAAAAACAAATAAAATCAATGGTTCGTTGAGTAATTTCCGCTATCTGACATCTGCTTTTGGCGCCAACGGACGATAAGGTTGCTCCGGGGCCGCTGTCGCCAATGTGTCGGTTATTGCGCCTGTCAGAGGGTGCGTGGAAAGCAGACGGGCGCCATAGGTAAGTTTGTTCTTTGAAAATTTCATGCGATGTTTCCACCACCTGCGGGCACCTCTGTAGTGCATAGTGAAGCCTATTTATGCGGTCACTTCAAAGGTTTCATCCGGATTCGTGTGCACGCTGTAGTTCAGTAATGACGCAGACATGAAGCACTTACCCGTTCCTAATGAAAGAGTTCCAGGCACTGACGAGCTGCGTCATGAAGGTCTCTTCTTCTGCCGTGTACGTTGCATTTGAGAATTTTTTCCTTAAGTACTCTCCTAGTTCTTTCGTGTGATAAGTTTTGTCTTTCAAAAACGGCAAGGATCCAGATGTGAACAGCAGATCGTCTCCGTGCACAACGCCCATCCATTCTGGCCACACAGTAAAACTCGGCCGATGCGCAAACATATATCTGTAGGTGCTTATTCCTTGCTGCGAAGCGACGTCTGCGAACAGCTTGGTCGGACAGTTAAAAACAACATCACCGAAAATTCTGCTAATTATATCTCCGACGCTTCGGCTGTCATGCTCGACATCGTAATCACCGAAGTAAGAACGAACAATCTCTCGTGCACGAGAAACCGGGATGTCAAAGGCAGGTGCCAGGGCAACTGTGACCGCAAGACGATAGTCTCCTTCCAACAGGGGTTTAAGTGCAGGGAACGTGTATTGTAGGTTATCGAAAAACAATGTCCCTTCGTTTAGAGTGGTTCCAATAAAAAGCTCTTTGAAATCAAGGTGTTTCCAGGTTTCTTCCATAAGTGGATGGTAAGGTAGGAAGTCACCTCCATGTACTGGAGCAAAGATTTGTTGAACAAGGTCCAGTGACTTCAAGGTTTTGTAGATGAACGCTGCGTCCAGTTTTCTTAAGCACTCAATCACATCTCTACGTTGGTCTTCCAGGGATTTTTTTAAGTTGTAACATCCAAGAGCGCTTGCCACTGCAGAAAATTTTCCAGTACCTTTGTAAGTTATTCCGAAGATTATGGAGAGTGGCGTGCCACTTTCCATGATGATCCGTTTGAAAAGGCCCTTACTGTGAGGCGAAACAGCGTGCATTCCTGCAGATATTCCCCCCGCACTGTGACCCTTAATCGTGACGTCATCTCGATCACCCCCAAAGTATTCAATATCTCTTTGAACCCATTTAAGCACCAAATTCTGGTCCCAAAGTCCCATGTTACCAGGCAGTTCTGGAGTCTCCAAGGACAAAAAGCCGAAAAATCCTAGGCGATAGTTGAAACTTACGTAGACAACATCTGTCAGAGACACGAAGTTTGCCGCATCGTAAAAAAACAAAGCTGAGTCGCCCCACTGGAAGGCCCCTCCTTGAATAAAAACAACGACTGGTCGTTTCTTGTCACACGATTCAAAGTTTGAACAGTTGGAAGTCTTTCGCCAGACGTTGAGGTAGAGGCAGTCCTCTGAGGAATCGGAGTAGTCCGATTCTGCGTCCCCCATAAATTGGACGTTCTGCTGCCAACACGGCGTTGGCTTTCTTGTAGCTTTGTACGTTCCGATCCAAGGTTTGACTGCATGAGGCTTTCTGAAGCGAAGATCTCCAACGGGTGGTTCCGCGTACGGGATTCCCAAGAAAGCGTCCACCAGTCGGTTGCCGACTGTGATACGTACACCAGCGACGAGCCCAGAATCCGTGCGAACGATGGGATCTTCACCTGCCACTGGTTTTAAAGAGCCCACGGAGCACACTGTCACGCACAAGATGAACAGATGAATGCCTGCTCTAAGCAGTACGGTTCGACAAACTTTCCCCATCAGTTCACCCATTGGTAAAACATGCGAAATTTCTCTTTCGAGCTTGGCGGTACTCGAAACACTTCCGTCTAAATCAGACTGAGCGAAGCTCGGCTCACAGAGAGCGTTTTATATCTTGTTTTTGATTTCGGTTTGATACGATCCTCCTTGCTTTACGAAGCCAAGGATTTCCTTCCTTGTTGGCGGCACGTGCACAGCCTCATTAAGTACGCCATGACCGTCCCGCCTGATATGTTTACATTGAGGTAGCATAATTTTGTATCGAGGTTCAGTTTTCCTGCGAGGAGTGTGTGTAAAGGACTCGTGATAACCTGCTGGGCTTCTCCACGTGCGGGAGGTCTCTTGTTTTGCGGTGCGTCTTATGCTCTTTGGATTTTATTTCGTTTATTTTCTGAGGGGGAGAGCGTCGTGTTTCAAAGCATCCTGTCCCCCGTTACGTTTTTTGTGTTTTGTTGTTTTTGTTAGGAGATCTCTTGCTGCCTGGCGTATCGGGTTGCAACCCAAGTGCTTTGGCGAGGCGCCGGGCTAGCGGCGATCATGAATGTTGGGACTACGGATTTGTCACGTCGTGTCTGTTGAAAACTTGACCAATGTTGACGCCGTCTTTGGCGCTCATTGAACGGTCGACATCATGGGACTTCGGCAGATTATAAAAGATTGGTTGGCGATTCTAGGAGACCAAGGAGGAGCCTTCAAATGCCCGAGACGGGGGTGAGAAAGAGCGATTTTTACCTGTTTCGTACAATTTTGACATTGGTCCAGAAAATGAAAATTTCCTCTGCTGTCTTCATAGAACTTGTGCATAGTTTTAACATATCAATAAATCGTTTGTACTCGACCTCGACCAAGCCTCCATCGCCCCCTGGGTACCTCAACGACTGACAGCCCGCACCATAACGAGGGACCAACAAACATTTAGCATCAACGACCCTTCACTGTGCAGTTCTATAAATGTCAAGTGCAATCTGTATGTATTTCTAATTTAATACATCATTCTACACTGGGTATGTACGTATCTATTTGAAACGTATCGCGAAGCCTACTTTGTGAAAGGTTTTAAAAAAGTAAAAAAATATATAGCATGCCTTTCGCCTTCCTTCTCACTACGTAAAACTATGCCCTGAAAAAGTTCAATGAGTTTTGTCAGGCATGTGCGACCCTTTATAAAACCATGCTGAGTACACAAAAAGTAGCTCTTTGAATCTAGGTATTTTAAAACAAGATTATACAAAACGTTCTCCCAAATGTTTACAACAAATACTACACAGTGAAATGGGGCGATAATTTTCTACGTTTTGTTTAGACCCATGTTTGGTAGCTGGTGTCAAGTACTCCAGTTTTAATACATGTGGAAGGTTCTTCTTCTTTCTACTTTGTGCGTCAATACCTCAATATGGCAGGTTTATTTTTTCTATTGATTTATAAAAAACGAAATATTTAAGTAGCAGGACAAAGCTAATATTAAAAACTCGATACATAAGTTGACGAACCTTTGGTTTTTACTGCCTTCTTAACATAAGGTCTTCTCAAATTTCGTTGTGGCTTCTTTAATCCATGACACTCTTTCTAATCTCTAACCATGACAGCTCTCCTAAGCAAAAAAATGTCATAAGACTGACTTTTTTCCCTGGAGGGGGCTAACCAGAATTTCTGACGTTAGAGGCAAGGGTAAAGAGAAAATATTTCCGCTTGCTTTACTAAATTTTGCTACAGTGCCTTCGCAGAGCTGTAAAGCATTATCTTCTTTATATTTCCAAAACTCTTAAGTATTGAGTTCTATGCCTGCTGAAAGCCCCTTAAAACACTCGTGTTTAACCGTGCTAATAAAGTTTTTATAGCTTATATTTAGATTTTCAAGCTGCTATGAAGCAGAAGAGAATTGGTTGGGTTTTATACTTTAGAAAACCACGCCAACGTCGATACATCACCTTTTCTTCACAGCAGCAGTCATCAAAGCCTTTTCACGTATTGCTTTTGAACGTATATATTTCTCCCGAACCTATTGGCGACGTGCGCGACCGAAAGCGTCGCTGTGGTCGGCCTTCCACGATTGGCCCAAAAGCTGACTATGACGTCGGAAAGGGTACACCATTGACTGAAGTAAGAGGAATTAAACAACTTTAATTTCGACGGTGTTGACAGTGTTGCTTTGAGAGAGCAATGATTTCAGGCTTCCACCATGCTATTTACAAACACCATCGAACTTGTTGTTCGCAAGGTAATGACGTCACAAGGGGGAACCGTAGGAAGGCGCCACCAAAACTTCTCGCCGCTAATTTGTTCAATTACTTTGGGCAAGCATTCTCGCAAAACATTTCAGGAAGCATTTATACAGTACTGTAAAGGAACCGTAAAAAGAAGCCTCCATATATTAAACAAAATAAAAAAGAAAACGTACCCCTGTGGTTTTGAAATTACCTTTATTGTAGACGTACACTTTCTACAAATTTTTGGTTCGCGAGATAGCTGAGGTAATGTTAACCAGGCGGCGACTTTTGTTGTTGCGACTAATTTTTGAAAAGACGGTCACATTATAAACAATTTCAATCTTGCACAGAAGTTAACCAAAACATTTTCGCGTCTCGTTCGCTTTAAAACGGATTGCTCAAAGTCATAGGTTGCTAAATTATCTTCAAATCCAACATAAATTGCTCTAGGTGTCACTAAATTGCCATCGCAATGGCATTTAAGTTTTAGCATGGCCCCTAGCTAGAACCAAAAGTTATAAATTACATTAGCAAAGTTTAGTAAATTAGTCCATTTATCATGCAAATTATTCGCTCATCTGTCTGCCAAACCTTATAAATACATGGTAAGGACCGACATGATAACCTGGTAGCGGGGAAAAAACGGGATAAAAAACGGCACAAAGCTTGGACCACACCTGTCTAACTCAGACCCCTTTAAGAAAAAAAATATGTTTGAAATAAAATCAAGATCCCTGTATAATAGAGCACAAAGCATCCCAAGCTGAAGCTTTAATATGGACCGCAAAAGTGTGTATCTTCCTTACTAGGTTTCTGTAAGCTTTGAAACTTTCCAGTACAATTGCTTGGTATATTAAATGAATGTATATATATATATATATATATATATATATATTGATAAGCTCAGCCGCAGAACAAGTTTTAATAAAAAATAAAACAAACAAACAAACAAACAGGACAAATACTAGGTAGAGATATTTTCGCTCAATAACCTATGCGAATGAATCAATAAAATTGGTAAATAACACCCACCGGAGAAAGATTTAGATAACCGTGGTTTGATGGTACGTAAATTTCACATCTAGAATGAGTGCGAAGAACACACTTTCTGCTTAATCTTCTCAAAGATCGTCGTATAAAAAGTATTTATCAAAAGAATCAGTTAGCATTCCCTAATAATGAATTACTAGGGAATGGTAACGCATTCCCTATTAATTCACCAATTAATCTTTATGAATTTTTTCTACTTTTACGTCGTTTTATCCTTTCTAACTTTTTCGATGTCTCCTTCCACCTGCAGAAACATCAAACGCGGATCCGTTCATGCATAAGCTGACAGCGCGTCAAAGCTACAGGCACGAGACCGCAGCTTTAATGCGAATTACGCTCACGCTTCGAAGGCCCGTTTCAAAAGGAACTTTCGTAGATCGGTTCCTTACACCCAGATTTATCTAGCAGAGGTAGACAGACGCTCCTACTGAGCATGCGCACCGCTAGCTTTGTCTGCAGAATTCCAGGGATCATTTCCGGTCGCCGTAAGCTAGCGGTATGGCGGGTGTGGTTGGATCTTTTGTTGCTTGTCAGCTTACAGCTGAACGGAGTGCACCTTCATTCTTTCTCTCAAATACAATATTATAATATTACAAGGACAACCATAAAGCAGGCGTATGAGAAATGGAAAGTAGTGTGTCAGAACATTTTTGAAAACATCATAATTGTTTACATTGTTTTCTCGATAGGTGTACGGGCAAAGTAACCTGAAAGTAGTTGGTAATGTAACAAGCCAAGCAATTCCTTCTTTTCAGTCAAAGTAATGAGCAACGGTAATTAATTACATTTTAAGCTCGGTATTTTTTTATTGTAATCCATTACATTTTTCGAGTAACGGGCAAAAGTCTGCATCTCAGAGGTGGTGCGAACGCTTCAAAGTTGAGGGACGGATTATTGCCACCTGGAACCTGTGACCTCTACCTAGTTGGGTTCATAAGAGGTGTTTAGGGTGGCTGCATGAATAGACTCGTTCCCTTCACCGAATTCTCAATCCACCAGCTTGTAAGACAGACTTTACAGCTTCTGGCTAACGTGGTGCCGGCCCTCCGACGTCTTAACCATAGTTGCTCTGAAGCCCCCTGCGACATGACTCAGCGGATGGGCCCGCCTCAGCACCAGATTCCCTAGCTTTTACCATAAAATGCAAATTTCATCTCCCCTTATTTTATTGGTTGGCCCGCTGCTTTCTCGGGACGCCAAAGCTCTCCGGAAATATTCGCGAATTCTCCGCGGAGCGTTTCCAGAGACCTTCCGCGAACTGCATATCGATGCGCTGCATGCTTGCTCTCTCTGTGCAAAGAAGACCATTTTCAGGAGAAAGGGGAGCTCCTTCCCAACGTTTAATTGAGCTGCAGGAAACTTATAACCTCTACGTTCAGCTGGAAAACTTCAGAAGCAGAACCATAGATCGGTCAATGGTCGTGCTGGAAGAGAAGGCTATTTCTGCAAGTTTCACGTCCAATTCTTTATGTGGCTTTTTGTGTGTAATAAAAATCATTTTGAGGTTTCGGTTGCGTGATTTTTCGCTGCGAATGTTACAGCGAAGTCCGTTTGTGTCCTAACCATAATACTTTGCTCATATTTACGATCACCTTGCTAGCAAATTAAGAAGCGCTGTCCGTAATGAGAATTGGAGCATAGCCGAAGAGCGCGAACATATCACGAAGACAGTCCCCGATTTCCTTAGACTCGTGCATGCCTGCCCAACCGAACAGATCGACCGACTTCGTGAGGCGGTAGGTCACTACAAGTGGGGAGCAGTGCTCCTACAACGTTTGCGGCGTGGAATATGGGTAAAA